TTGCAGTGTGAACAAACTTCACACCCAGCTGTCCAAGCTCCCTTTTTTGCACCTGAACCCAAGCCATGTCTTTCTGAGCAACAAAGCTTTCTCTGGAGTTGATGGTGAAGCTCTCACCCAGTCGCTGCTGTCTTTTTTGGTTAACACCTTCAAATGCGGAAGCCACTTGCGGCGATTGATGTTCCAGGTGGTGACAACGGAAGCTTTGACCATGGCTGCATGGAGATGTGACAGTGACACAATGACAGTGACCAGGGAGACTACAGTAATTAAAACTATATTGTTGCTGATGAAGCACTGTACTATTATTCTTCCTGCCAAGTTGTTCTGAGGCCTTGCCAGCTGCTGGTTGCCAAGCCCGCTAATAGCCAAGGACTGACTTGCTGACTTTGCCGGACTTTGCATTGCAGTTTTTGCACCTGTTGGCTTTCTTCATTTTGAACTAAACAGCCACTGGTTCAAGTTGACATCATTCATAACATTGGTAGTAAACACAGCTCTTTTGGTACAAGCCGCTGCTGTCAAAGCTGCCATGGTGCGCACCGGAAAGTCCATCAAAGGGCAGGGAAAACCTGGATCCAAAGTGAAGCAATTGAAAGTAATGAAAAAACCAGAGGGCCATGAAAGTTGTCAACCCTAAGAAAAGGAAACGTGGCCAGGCAGACCCATTGGTTGGCGGGGCTTGGAAAGCTTGGGTCAATCATCTGCAGCACTTGGGGCCGACATGGCTGTATGTCTTTGGTGTGATGAGCCACTGCCTCTGCGCAAGGGTCACTGAGGTGATGAAGTTGACCTTGGCTGACATTGATTGGGACAATGGTACAGTTCACATCGACAGTCTCAAAAGGCAAACATCAACTAACAAACCAATGCTGAAAGCTTTGTTTGACATAATGGCTACATGGGAGCAAAACGGTGGAGTGAGGTTCACACGTACACGCAAGTGTGGAAGCCGCGGGCTGGTGACCTTTCAAGATCACTGGTCTTGGCCAACAGAAAGCAAACCAGAGTTCTTTCCAGCAGTGCGCTCCGATTGCAAGACCAATGTGATGAACAAGGACAGAGTTCTTCTAAAAAATTAGTTTGGAAAAACACACCTGAGTTGGATGTCACATGTTCTTTGCAAAAGAACCTTTGTTTGTTGACTTACTTCAGGACACAGTTTCTGCAGCTATAAGACGTGCAAGGGCAAGCTTTGTGCCTCCAAACGTTCGGGAGGTCAAGGTTGCCAGCATCAGGTCTCACTCAGGAAGACATCGCGCAGTCAATGACCTCAAAATGCACAACGTCAAGACCGAGGTGGGCAAGCGCTTTGCCAGAATCTCATCGGAGGCTGTGTGGGCAAACTATGGAAAATTGACAGCCAAGCAAGCTGCTGATGAGCTCCTGAATAACAAGCAGCTCCAAGATGACTGGCAAAAAATCTATGCTGAAGGCCATTGACAATGAAGCCTGGCCTTGTTTTCACCCTGGGTGGCATGGTTAAACCACAGCTCAGCTCACGCACATGCTGAAATGAAGTCACTGTGAAAAAAGGATTTTTCTCTTCCCGGAGCGGTCCAAGCTGTGCACTGAAACTGTCTCACTGAAAAGGGTTGTGGGCCCTATTTTCCCAAGGATCATTGACCCTGTCCAGCAACCCGGCCCGTTTCAGGACTCTGCGGAGCAGCCTTTCCAATACATTCTGGGACATCGCATTCCCAGCAGCTGCTCCGACCTGAGATTGGGTCAATTTGGCCTTTTTCACTGATATCCTCAGCAAGCGGATGCCTTGCAATCGCAGGGACTCCTTCACCCTCAGTCTGCGCCCAAGCTTTGTCACATAGAAACCACTGCGCCCCCTTGAGGCAGTAATGGTCGGTGACTCATTGAGTTTCCACTGCCTCAAATGCAACTATTTTTCACAGTATGCATTTGAGTGCTTCTAAATTTAGTCTGAGGTGCATAAATTTCTTGCCAGCATCCACATCCACAAAGGTGTATGAAGCCTTGGGGTCAATGCCCTGGTCTTTGCAGTCCTGAAGCGCTTTCCTGGAAGGCAAGAAGCACCGCTATTGAAACACTGAACATTGCACAGGAATAATAAGAGTAGAATAAAAAGAAGCTAGTGAAGAATAAAATGAACAATCCAAGGCCAAGTCCTCAAGTTCCGTGTGAAAGTTTCAGACCTGCACTGGTTTTGTTCTTCAACAGTCAGGAAATGCGTTGGATGAAGAGCTCCCCATGGCAAAGGTTCTGGAAAGTCAAAGTTCTTCACGTTCAAATTGGTCTTGAAGCCCACCATGTATGTTCTGACTCGTGCCTGAGGTAGACCATGGTCAGAGGTCTTCAAATCTTTAGTGAAGATGCTGTACCCACTCTTCACCAGTGCACCTTTGAACTTCAGGTACCCGGGCCTGTAGCGCCGCTGCTTCCTCCAAGCAGGCACGTTCTCTAAGACAAAGGCCCGTGGCTGTTTTAGATGGATGTATTCTCCACTCTTCCGCATGATCTTGGCCCTGAAGTCGCTCCACCCCTTACGCTTCCCAGCTGTTGAGAACGGTTGGCAGGGTGGACCTGCCACGTAAAGATCTACCTGTGCACAATCTTTGTTGCTTCGCTTTAGGACATCCTGCCACAAGGCCAAACCAATGTCAAACTTGTTTAAACAAAATCTGTTAAACATAGAAAAAACTTACAGAACTCTCATATCGCAATACAGGATGAAACCAGTCCTTGTAGAAATGCTCAGGCTTGAAATCAAACTGGATCAACTTAGCAAGGCGCTTGTGCTTCTCACTTGCAAACACCAGCTTGTGAGGCACACCCACACTGCACAGCGCCCGGCATGGTGTCTCAAGGCCTGAAAAATCAGTTCCAACCCTCACTGATTTCACCATGGCCCTACCCAAGACACCAACCTGAGCCACAAGAAACTGTGAAGCAAACTGTGAATGACATCCTTCACAAACCTGTGCACCATGCCGGCAATGACAGTGAACAGTGACAGTGAACAGTGAAAAATGCATGCACAAGCTGAACAGCAAGGCTTTTTCCATGTGGATTGCAGGGCTCAGTTGCATGAATCACAGCCAGCAGATTTAAGAAATAGGTGGCTATCGGTCCGGTCAGTCAGCAGTTGCCCCAGCTGCCAAAAGAAAGTTCTTTGTTTCACACCTGGTCCTTAAATAAGTTGATCAAGTTTTGGATAAACTGGAAAATTTGCAGCCATCACACTGACTCAACCAAAGCTATCAAAAAGCCTGTCACTGGCATACATGCGTCCTAGCTCTGTGTTAGAGGCTCCAACACTCACCAACATCACACCAAATGTTGCTATCACATAGACTGTCCGGAATCCTGGCCATCGTCCTGGTCCTCGTCATCCTCATCTCCGTCATCCTGGTCCTCTTCCGACTCATCGTTTTCCTGAGCATCATCTTCCTCATCCATGTCTTCATCATCACCGTCCTTGCCCGCCTTCTTGGCCTTCTTCTTTGCTTTGGCCTTTGCTTTGGACTTGGGCCCTGACTTCGGTTTGGCTTTGCTCTTGGGCTTCTTTCTGCCAGTGTTCTTCTGGCCGCTCTTCTTCCGCTTGGTGCCCTTCTTCTTATTAGAGTCACCCTCGTCGTCACCCTCATCTTCAGACTCCACATCCTTTGCTCCATCCCCAGTGGCAAACTTTGGTTGGAAGTGCATGGAGGTCTCCTTCTTGAAGAGGGTCAGGACATAGGATACCAACTCCTCCCGTAGCAAGGTGGGGTGCACATCAGAGCAGCAAATGCCAATGTAGCTCTTTCTCATGGCAATGCATGCCTTTGCTGCATTTCCATCTCCTGACAAAAACCAAAAAAGTGACACATCAACACAACTGCACAGAAAGAGACTGAACAAGCATTGGAACACTCAACACGGACGTCTCCTGCCGACATGTCATACACGCCCTTGCAGTGGTATGATGAGAAGATTTCTTTGAAGAACTGGATGGGCATTGACCAGAATGAAACCGGCTCCACATTGTCATTGTTGCGGTTCTTCGGAATGTAGAGGTTGCCAGAAGCATCAATGGCCATCGGAACAATTGCTCCTGCCTCTGTGACTTCCTCCTCCTCACCATCCTCATCATCAGCGTCAACCGAAGTCCCTCCCACAGGAACACGAGCCTTTCCATACAAAGCCTTCTTCTTTTCAAACCTCAATTTCCAGCACTGTTCCCAGTTTGGGAGCTTCACCCATGCCAAAAGGTTTCCTCTATTTGAGCCCTGGTAATGCTCGCGTTTCTTCTCAGGCACTGAAAATTGGCCACTGGTGAAAAGTGTCAACCCTTCCGATTGCTCCACAGTGGCAACACCCCTCACACGCATCTTGCGGGATGTCACACTCTCTTCACTGTAAGCAACTGTTACCACCTTTTTGTTGAGTTTCCCACACAGCGCCTTGCCCACGGATGCCATGCGACCCTGCACTCCAGGTTGGCCGCCATCAAGGAACATCAGAACATCTCCATCATGCATCGGCAGGACCTCAGAGTCAACATCACCCAAAGAACCACTCCGTGATCTCAAAATAGCGGCAA